TCTTGATTTTTTGAGTGGTTATTATTCAAAGTCAAGACAATAACCACACATGGATTTATATTTAAGATATAGTTTTTATAAATTATAACAAAATTATACTTTAAATTCACTACATTTCTTGTATATTCGTTCGAAACTGAAACTTTCCATACTTAATAACATAAACGTTACTATATGGACAATTATATCATTCTTTATTTGTGCCATTTTGTCAGTAAAATAGACTTGGAAAATTAAAAACATGTTTCTCGTTCTCTGTCGTTCTTCCTGTATGCAGGAGTCGATCAGCGACTTTTACTGGTACTACTCAGGAAAAGACATCATCGATGAGCCTGGGAAGAGGAACTTCTCCAAAGCAATGACTGTGGCCAAACAGGTCTTCAACAGCTTGACTGAATATATCCAGGTAAGAGAGTTTCTTTATTAATGATGGGATGGATAACTTTATGGTTTGAACATTATTTTATGGTGACTCAAAAAGATCATGCCTTGGACAGAAGTAAAATTCAGGGTAAGCAGTACCTACAGCTATGTAGTTTTTTTTTACTGAAGCAAGAGAGGGGTCATGTTTTTATCAGTGTGATATAAATAGTCACTTTTTGAAGTGGGCGGGATGAGTAAGGGGTGAGCATGAACACTGTGAAACACCCACCACAGTAAAAAAATAAAAAAGATAAAATGTAAACCCTTCTTCTCCATTTAGATTTTTACATGAGGATATGTGAATGTATTTATTTAATAGGGGAACGCAGTTTAACACCGTTTCAGTACACAGCATGAATCTGATGTTCTGCACAGAGAGTTTAAAGCGATAGTACAGAATGACGTTGTGTTTCTGTGTCCGTCAGGGTCCGTGCACCGGTAACCAGCAGTCTCTGGCTCACAGCAGGCTGTGGGACGCTGTTGTCGGCTTCCTGCACGTCTTTGCTCATATGATGATGAAACTTGCTCAGGTAAGAAACATCAACAATTAAAACATTTTCCTTTTTATAGCAGACATTTGATTATTTCCTGCTTGTCATTAATGGATATTTTCTGGAGTGAAATATTAAAATGGTCTAATGGTGTATTTATTGTAATACAGTGGATTGAAGGATGTTTGAATGAAATCTTTTTATAGATATATTTGAATCACTATTTTAGGATTTTATGACATACTAATTTTGTGAACCGTTTCTCTCATGGTTCCTGAAGAGTAAAGTATGTATTTATTTGATTATTCTTTTCTTTAATGAAATTATTTATATAACCTTAATATCTTCCTCCTTTATATATTTTTACCTTTCTTTTCCCCCACTTTTCTTGATCAGAATGTTTTTGCCTCTTAACTGAGTCATTTCAAGTTAAAGCGAGGTAGTTAGACGACTTACTGTCGGTGACAACATCAAGACTGGACCGAGTATTCAGCGTTCCTCTTGAATAAGGTTGAATTTTATACAATATGATAATTATGTACGCTTTATTTTTCAAGCTGTTCAACTCAAGTTAAACTACTATTCTTCTTCTTAATACTGAAAGGCTATTGAAGACATTAATATAGACTTAAAAAAAATGCTTCTGCGCACCTCACTGTCTCTACACACACTAAAGAGTTAACCAGACTTAGATTGCAAACGACATGAATTCCAGTTAAGAGGGCAGAAACAATTTGAGATTAAAAACAGATGTTCTTTCTTTCTCTTTAAAATCTTTCTGATTCTGTCATACAGTTAAACTGTCTTTAAGTATGTATTATGTCATTGTACTGACAAAAGCTTTGTGAGTGATTGTGCTGTGGATAAAGTCTGTTAACTTGAAATAATGTGTGTCTGCAGTCTGTAACTGGTTTGACCTAACACGTCTAACAGTGTGTGATGCTGCTGTTTTCAGTGCATTTTCTTATTTTTAAACCGTCTATATCTTTGAAGTGATTGTTTAGTCTGGTTTTCTAGAACAGGAAATTATCATTCATGCATCTACACTCTTAATATTTCCTCTTGAAACCCTGTGTTGTGACAAAGAAAGTATCTTCTATCTTGCATTTTAGTTTTGGTTAAGAAAACACATCAGTGTTAATCAACCGCTTTAGAAAAAGGTTTGATTAAAGTTGTTCGGCAGATGATTAAAATCACAAAATGCCGCCAAGCAAGAACTTAAACTGAGAAATAATAATTGATTAAGAGATCATGTCCATTACATCTGTAAAGTAATATCCAGACATGAAGGATAACGTTTTTATTTTCATGTGTTAGATGCATCCCGATCCAGGAGAACGAAATGGCGTAAGAATTTATGTCTCAAAGCCGTCTCATTCAGAGTCCCTCCCATGCTTTTTTAAAGATCATCACATAAACGATAATCCATCTTAAAACCTTCATCATTTACATCATCCTTATTTCTGTTATTCCTTATAATCATCTCATGTCTTCACCAGCATTATTGCTACTTTCTAACATCAAGTCAGGAGGACAGTGGTCGTCTGTTGAGAGAGTCAAAGAACATTTGTGAAAGTTCATCCACACTTTGAAATATGCAAACCCTTTTAAAAAGATGGTTTGAAATAACTAGAAAGTTAGATCACATTGTTTGTTTCACTAATATTTAGTAGACAGCTGCGGGAATCGAGTCTCATGATTGAGTGGTCTGTACTCGCTTTGCTGTTCAGATTTTGAAGGGCTTCATGAAAAAAGATTAACGACTGGTTATTTCATATTTAAAAGATACATCTCATGTTGTTCCCTGAAGAATCTCAATGTCCTGCTTTGCTTGTTTTCATCAAGCTCTATAAAGCCCCATTTCCACCACGCGGTCCGGTTCAGTTCGGTGAGGTGAAGTACACATTTATTGGCGTTTCCACTGTCAGAAGTTTTGAATGGTACCAAAATAACCGATCAGTACCGTCCCACTTTTTTGGTACGCTTCTGTTGGGGTGCCAAGCGTACCGATCCGACCCTATAGGCCGGAGCTAGGAACACTGCAGTCCGTTGATTGGTCGAAAGAATCATCACTTACCGTGCTACAGCGGTAAAAAAGGACAAACACAAAATGCACAATGTTTAAATATCCAGTGGATTTTGAGAGCGTAATTGTCAACACATAGCACCGCACCACGGACAACCTCGGAGATGCAGACTTTCCTATGAATCATTGGTTTTCATTTACTGTGTCAAATTCTTCTTCTTTGTTGAATTTATTGGCTGTCTACACCATGTCACCCCCAAGTGATCTAGGGCTGTGTAAGGGTACGGTTGGCTGTGGAAACGCAAGCAAGATCAGGATTTACCGTACCAAACTGTACCAAACCGTGTTGAACCAAACCTGACCGCTTGTTGAAACAGGGCTTCTGTGGCGTTTTGTATTGTAGGTCCTTTTGTCTGATGAAGTATTTTAAGGTGCCACTGTAATTTCCCCGGTGAACCGATGCTTGCCCATCCTTACACCAGTCTCCTTTAGATCTCCACCAGCCTGAAAACCCAATAGACTATTGTCTTCTTGTTATCTACTGGTGCTGGTCTTCAGGACTGCTAAGATCAGTCTTACAATATGTGTGTTTGTTTTCCTTGCTTACTATGCTGATGCCACTTAAATGAGGAGAAGGCGCGCTGTCTACCAGAATCATATTTCTCTCTTTCATACCCTCCTGTCTTTCTAGTAGATGTTGTGCTTTCCATCATATAAAAGTGTTCAATTTGTGATGTTACAACACGTATTCTTTATTTAAAAATGCAAACCCAGGATCATTTTTGGAGTAGAGCACACTCTAGGTAGTTTATTTAATTTTTTGTCAATTTATGTGTCAGAACCCCTCACATATAAACTGTGATTGATCATTAAAAATGAAAATTTCAGTCAGTAGACTTGTTAAAAATACTCTTTTTTGTGCTGTTTGTTTTGTTCTGCTGCTTGTTTTGGCTCTGTTGCAGGACTCCAGTCAAATTGGACTATTGAAGGAGCTGTTGGATCTGCAGAAGGACATGGTAGTGATGCTTCTGTCTCTGCTTGAAGGTATGAAGTCCAGGCCAGTCTACTGATGTGTTCTTCTTCCTGTTATATACTTTCTACACATTTCTCATCTCCTCTTACCTTGTGCTGCTCTTAGGCAATGTGGTGAATGGCACCATTGCGAGGCAGATGGTTGACATGTTGGTGGAGTCCTCCAGCAACGTGGAAATGATCCTGAAATTCTTTGACATGTTCCTCAAGCTGAAGACATAGTGGCTTCTGACGCCTTCAGAGACTATGTGACCGACCCTCGTGGCTAATTTCCAAGAAGGACTTCTCCAAGGCCATGGACAGCCAGAAGCAATATTCCCCCTCGGAAATCCAGTTCCTGCTCTCCTGCTCGGAGGCCGACGAGAACGAAATGATCAACTTTGAGGAGTTTGCCGACCGTTTCCAGGAGCCAGCCAAAGATATTGGTTTCAACATCGCTGTTCTGCTCACAAACTTGTCAGAGCACGTTCCCCACGACACTCGCCTTCAGAACTTCCTGGAGCAGGCGGAGAGCGTGCTCAACTACTTCCGCCCTTTCCTCGGTCGCATTGAGATCATGGGAGCCAGCAGGAAGATCGAGCGCATCTACTTTGAAATCAGCGAGGCGAACAGAAACCAGTGGGAAATGCCGCAAGTCCGAGAGTCCAAACGGCAGTTCATCTTCGACGTGGTCAATGAGGGCGGCGAGAGTGAGAAAATGGAGATGTTTGTGAACTTCTGCGAGGACACCATCTTTGAGATGAACATTGCCGCGTCGATTTCCGAGCCGGAGGGAGAAGGTGCAGAAGAAGAAGACGACGAGGAGGAAGAGGAGGGTAAGGGAGATGAAGGAGAGGCCGTAGAAGGCGAAGAGGGCAACGGAGAAGGCGAAGCTCCAGAGTCGACCTCGGCCTTTGCAGACTTTTTGAAGAGTGTGGCCGACTTCTTCAACATGTTCACCTTTCGTAACCTGCGGCGACGACGGTACGACGCAAACTACGTAAAATGACGGTGAAGGAGATGGTGATCGGACTGGCTACGTTTTTACACCATCGTGATGGGTATCCTGATGTTCGTTTACAGCATATGTAAGGGCTTCTTCACTCTCATATGGAAGGTGCTGTTCGGTGGAGGCTTAGTGGAGGGCGCCAAGAAGATGACTGTGACAGAAATCCTAGCCAGTATGCCAGATCCAACGCAGGATTTAGTCCACGGAGACCTGCCACCTGAACCGGGAGCTAGAGAGGACCAAGACGCAGATGGAGGGGTGGACTTGTTAGATGCTGTGGGAGGAGAAGAGGAAGAGGAGGAAGGCGAGGACAGGGAAGGTGGACGCCTGCCTGGTATCAATACTCCCGGGGGACTTGGAGACTTTGGTGAGACGACGCCTGAAGAGCCCCAACTCCAGAGGGAACACCGCTGCTGAAGAGAAAACTGGTGATTTGCTCTGTTTGATAGTAGTTAACGGTTGTTTCATGACATTCATCTCTGTTAACCAAACGATTAACTGTAAAATATTTATCAAAACAGTTGGCTGCTACAACAGAGGGACAAGGAGAGGAAGACCAACCCGCAACTGAAGAGGAGGCCCCTCCAGAGACTGAGAAGGCAGAGTAAGTTGTCTATATGCTGGGGATAAACATCAAACATACTTAAGATAATGTGTTCTCAGTGTAATACTGAACCTCTGATAGCGAAAGGGGAATTTTGGCTTTAAGCAATGGACACGTGCAATCAACTATCCATTTTGTGCTTTCACATTTTTAATGTAAAAGAGCAAAAATGTGAGGAATAATCAAATCATTATGTGCTGACGTCAGATATTTAAATACATTCAGAGAGTTCATTGTTAAACTTTGGTGACAGGTGACATCATCACGTATCTTTAGGGTGGTCTAAGTTATATTATTAAACACTGAAATGGTGGTAGAGCCAAAATTATAAAAAAAAATCCTCTGTTTAGAGTGGAAAAGCACAAGTGTAACCTTCTTATATGTTGTTGTTTTTCAGCACTGAAAATGGAGAGAAGACGGAGAAGGCAGAGCCTGAACCTGAACCTGAGGCAAAGGTGGAAGAGCCCGAGGAGATCGAGGAGAAGACTGTGAAGACCAAGGCGAAGAAGGACAAGAAACATGCAGAGGAGGGCTTTGAGCTGTGGAATGAACTCGAGGTTCAAAGGATTAAGTTCATGGTGAGCGCTCTCTACTGGAGGATATGTTGATGAATAGACTTTTGAAAAGTTTGATTAGTAATGTGGTTAATTAAAGGATGCCTTTAGCTGCAAATTGAACATGGTATGGCAAGTGATTTTCAAAAGATTGTGTTTTTGTTTTAGTTGGTCTTTTGTCCAGAAGTTTTTCTCCATCATGTTTGCAAAAACATAGCATAAGAAGCTTCATACCTATTAACTGTATTCAGTATTTTCCTCATGCTTAATGTTAAAGCAGTTGTTTAACAACTGAATGCATGATTTTTTTTTATCTATCCTAATCAAAAATGTGTGAATTGTTATTAATTAGATTTTAATGTAGTAATATTATGCAGTTAAATGTTGGTTTTGGTGCTTTTCTGGTGATTTACCCGTTTCTTTACACACTCCGCCCTCAGAACTACCTTTCTCGCAATTTCTACAACCTTCGATTCTTGGCTCTGTTCATCTCCTTCGCTCTCAATTTCATCCTGCTCTTCTACAAGGTCGGTGCCTCTGTGACAAACGTATGATCACTCATATAGTATCTCCCCTCAGTGGGATCTAAAAACGATCTGCAGCTGCATCGTTACAATTTTGTGTGGCAATAAATCAAAGTAGACTAAATTATGCAGAGTTTTATCTCTATACAGATATTATTATAGTATTTTAATTTGAATTTAAAGGGGCAGAATATAATGCACTTGTGAACATTAACTCAAAACCCCATTTCTTTACTAAGCAATTTTTTTGCACATAAAATACTCTTAAAAGGCTTTC